GCAATTCAAGGCGTGGGTTAGAGGCTTATCGGCAGTCGAAACACACGATCCTCATCAGACGCGCGGGGCGCGAAGCCGCAGTCCTCAAGGAGTTCGGACTGGAGGGCGATCACGCGCGAGAGGGCGACACAGGTGGCATTGGCGTGCGCAGCACGCCGGGCGCCAGTACACGCGCGCAGCAGGGCTGCGCACCTTAGTGCCGCAAGGACTAGGCAAGGCACGCGGGCGGCTGGGACTTAGGCGGTGTGCAAGGCGGCCGAAAAGAGAGAATAATAGAGAGAGAATACTTGGTGTGCAGCCAAGTGATTTAGTTTCCATCTAGCTTTATGATTTATAGCTTGTTTAGGATTTTTAATATTTTATTGCTTTATTAGTTCCCTAGGTAGATTAGGCTTAGACATATTTTGTGCCTACATAAAGGCCCCATCCCCATGTTATTTTTCATCATGAATTTTATGAATAGAAATCTGAACTTTTGTTCTTCCACTTTGCTTTAGTTTTCCACCAAAATTCTATTGCAATTTTATTCATTCCAAGAGGCGCGGTTGTGGCTCGAAGAATACCTATCGGAGATTCAAGGCGTGGATTCGATCGGCAATCAAAACACACGATCTTCATCACGCTGGCGTGCGCGCTGGAAGCAGTGTAGAGGGCCCAGCAGACAGGCATGGTTCAAATAGGACCGACCGTTTTTAAAATTCACTCGAACGATCAACTTAAAATTTTTACACATAAAATAGACCCAGAAAGACACTTTTTCACAAAGTTTCAGACCCAAGACTTCTGTTTAACCTGTGCAACCAATTTTTAAGAAAAAACGATGCAAATCTGAATTTACAAGTTCTCCAGGAAATCCTTGTAATTTTTAAATAAAATTTGGATACAAGACATATAACACCGGAATAATGACACTCACCGAATATCACATCAAAATACCAAGAATACGAATTTTAATGATTTTTTGAATTTTCTGCCCAGAATTTCAAATCGGCATTAACATAGCTACAAATATTATTTCGACCTGAAACTTTTACACCATATAACATACCAAAAGATGGTCATAAAATTCAAATTTCATAGCAATCGGACGAACACACGATTTATAATGATTTTTGTAAAAATCAGCAGCAACTCCCGATTCAAAAATACATATATGACCACATACTCAACAAAAAAACGTGTAAGGCCTTCACCATGAGGCCAAATACTCATAAATGTTCAATAGTCCACAGCCTTAACACGATTTTAACAAGGGTTCATCAAGAACACACTAATATCCCTTCAAACATGCATAATTTTCATATTATTCAAACATTCCAAGGCAAATCCGATTTAAACCAAGATGAAACAACTCAAAACACATTAAAATGAGAAGGTACAGCCATCAAGTACCGTTATCGTGGTCCTTGCACTAAAAAGCACAAGAGAAAGGGGTTCGAAGGCTCGAAGGCGTGCACGGGGTGG